TGCGGTAATAACCAGCGCAGCTGAGTTTGCTGGTAATGGCTTTCATACTTCGTTCCCAAGTCATTGTTTGACCGCCTCTGACTTGTTCCTACCCTTCACTTGGTTGCGCAAAAAGAACCCTCCGAAGAAGTCGGTCGACTGGTATACACAGCACGTGGCCAAACCAGCACAACCTATGCGGTGTGATCAGTTCATCTATCGAGGATGAGTGAGTTATTTCTCCCGAATACCATTGGACGTACTTCAGCATTGCTCATCTGGTGTTCCCACCAGATTCGGGCAATGCTCCGAAGACATCGATGGTCAAACACTGAAAGTCTTTTGACGTCCTCAGCGCGCAGCGGCCAGGTTTCTGATCCGTTTAGTAATATGGAGCGCACCACAGTATTGTAAACTCAACTCTTGACGGACAAGCTGATGTCGCGCTTATGCCACAGGTGACGCAGGACCACGAAAGCCGCTCTGGCCTTCCCAATCCGGATGGAAATATCATCTTTCACGAGACCACCGGAACTGATACGACTGCCCAGGTAAACGAATTTGTGTGCTACCTCAATTGGTTCATCCGCAAGTATGAGGCTGGGTCCGAGCCCACCCAGTCTTGAAGTAGCACTTGACACTGCAGGTGTGAAGTGCATGTCAAACCATGAGGCAGAATTATTTTGATTATTTAGTGTTGTTTGCATTCGGCATCAGATCCAAGAAGAGCTACGTCATCTGCGTACTCGATATATGTGAGAGGACGCCATGGGAGTACTTTGACCCCACAGGGATTAGGGGTTGATAGCGAGCCTTCCATGATCGTATCAATGACAAATTTAAAAAAGAAAGGTGAAAGAAGACAGCCCTGTCTGAACTCAGGTGAGCGCTTCCCGTAGACCTTCACACGGCTGCGTGAGTTGGTGTACAGCGCCCCAAGGAGGGTCAAGAATTTATGGGGGACACCTTTGCTCCACAGACACTGCCATAGTGCCTGGCGGCGAGATGGCCGAAGTGGTTAGAGCGCGGATTACTAACCTGAAGGTCCGCGGTTCGAATCCGACCTCCGCCACTCGACTTCCCCTGTCTAGGCTTGGGCAACCTGGCAGTATCCCAGCCCTCGTGCTTCCTTCGGGTGGCATGGCAGCTAGGCACCGGAAGGGTGCTACAGCTGAACGCGCTTTTAGTGCCTGGCGGTCCACAGAGTCGAAGGCAGCTTTCAGATCAAGAAAATTAACCATTGTTGGTTGCTGGAAGCAGTGTTGCTGTTCCAGAATCTGTCGGACGCAGGACGGAACCCAGCTTGTTTTCCACGGATCTGCCTCTTTCTGTGTTCAGTCAACCTTCGAAGGATAAGGCCAGAGAGCACCTTCGATGCCAAAGCTAACAGGCTGATGCCACGGTGGTTTTCACATAGCGTCCGCGTACCCTTTTAGAAGATAGGGATAACTGTCGACATGCCCCATTCTGCAGGCACTTTCTCTTCGTATCACATTGTACCAATAAGCTTTGTCAGGTGGGTCACCAGGGATTTTCCGCCTTCTTTGAAGAGGGCTAGATACAGACCGTCCGATCCTGGTGCCTTATCACTTTTCAGTACGGCTATTTTGTACCTTGTTTCTTCTTCCGTAGGGCGATCAAGGTTTACATTCCATTCGGCTGTATGCATTATCTCCACCGTCTGTGTTGCAGGAGGCCAGCTGACTGTTCCTCGAAGTGTTCGACCCATCTCTTCAGTCGACGTTTTTGCGAGTGAATTAATGTGCCATCTTTTTCACTTATCGTTTCACTTGCCGTTGCTTTCCTAGGGCCAGTCGATCGCATCAGTTGATAAAGGGCACGGCTGTTTCCCGTAGCAAAAGCCTTCTCCATCTCCCGAGCTTTCGTTGTCCACCAGAGCTCTCGGTCTCTCCTTAGACTCTTCATCATTTGGCGTTTGAGGGATTTGCGTGCGCCGTCGTACTCGTTGCCTGTTGGTATGGATTTCCCGATATCAGTCATGGGTAGCGATCTTGCTGACATCCAGTGGTCTTGTGGTCGAATCGGAGAGGTCGGACACTGCGCTGAACACCTCTACCATAGCTCTCTTCACATTTTCACACGCTTCATCCACATGTTCACTGCCACCACAGTATTTATTTACTGTGGAGAGTCGTTGGGCTAGCTCAGCTGGGTACTGTTGAGCTATAGTCGTTCTTTGAAGATAGTGGATTGACATGCTTCTTGCTAATTTGCGAGAGCATGCAGGGAAGCGAACTTTCTGGCGTGCACGCACCGTGGCTCGATCGGAAACAAGTGGTGTGCTCCAGAAGAAATGGTAGTCTTGAGTTGTGGCTCCACCGGCGGTTGATGTTTACGTGGTCCAACTGGGTCCACGGTTGATTTTCAGTTGGTAGCCGCCGGGTTACATGATGCGAACGTTTATGTTGAAAGTTCGCACTCGCCAGAAACAGTTGATCGTCAGCACACAACTGACGGAGTCGATCTCTGTTGTCTGTGCGGCGAGCATCGACCGCCCAAATGTGATTCCATGGGGCTAAGACGGCCTACTTGAGCATTCAAATCGCCTACAGGGATCACAATGTCAGTGCGTTTTGATCGATTAATGTGCCCGGATAGCTCTCGGCAGAAAGTCTCCTTCTCATCATCAGAAATACAGTCCGTTGGGGCATAAGTCGGCACTACAAACAGGCACCACTTTTCATGCCGAGGGCCTTGAGCTTGATTTTACTGGATAACCGGACGGCTCAAAGACGACTGTTCACTGGAATCCAATTCAGCAAAGTACGTTCAGCTCTGCTGCTGAGTGAAAACTCCCACGCCATATATTCCACGAGTCATCGCTTCTGGGTCACCGAACACACGGAGGGAGGAATGTGAAAGAGCTGAGTTCATCCTTGGCGTTTTGAAATGCATAACCACGCTTGAATCTTGTATGCTTGTTTCGAAGACGCGGCATATGTCAATTTTAAGAGAGTATAAGACTTTAGCAAGTATTATCTATATGCCGATTTGACATAGAGTACGGACGTTAAAAGCTTCCACGTAGAAAGGATCTCTTGGATTTATAAGGGTTTTATTATGTTTACTGCTAACAGGCAGCGATGAGCATAAGGCCCTCTGGTCAGATGACTGACAGTCAAATGGCCCAGCGACGTTTGCTTGTGCGGTGGGAAGGGGTTGGGGAGGGACATCGGTGGATGCTGAACTGCGCGGGCAAATGATACTTCCTGGTTGCCCAGGCCGAGGAAGGGGTTTGGTTTAGGTATCCCACCTTGAGCTTTTGACTCAAAAGTCTGACCCACGAGGCAGCGGACAGTCTGGTTTTCTTTGGGGACCCTACCCGGTGACACAATATTCTTACCCACTCGGCTGCAGGGGGTCGGCCTAACACGAGGGCGCAGGGAATAAGGCATTACCGTCTCATTCCTGATGCGACTGCTCACAGCAGATGCCTTTTGAGCAGCACCGGACTCTGGTTTTAAAAGTACATCGACCATATTGGATTATATGCAGGCGGTTACGGTCAACCGTTGGGTGACCGGAGTTTGCGGTTTTTAGGGCCTACCTTCTCTAACCCGTCCTTCCTCGATGGAAGGTTTCCATAAATATGGACGTGCTGGTCACCTGGGGAAACACCTTTCTGCCTTCAGGCTCCTGTCTCAGAGGACAGACCTCCAGACCGCCTCGTAGCGCGATTACTCGTAGTACGGAGTCTCACTGCTCTTCATCTGACTGCTCCCCTTTGGTCTTCCTGGCATGGTGAAACGACGTTCCAGCCAATGTAGCCCGCGGGATCATTGCAGCACGCAAGCCCGATCACCACGTCAAGGTGGCAGCTTTAGTTCGGGGATGGGGCGAGATGGTACAAGTGGCTAGAGCGCGAATTCACTGACTGGAAGGTTCGTGGTTCGAATCTGACCTCTTCCTCTCGACTTTCCCTGTCTAGCGTTGGACAACCTGGCAGCTAGGTACCGGAAGGGTGTCACAGCTGGGTGATACTCGAAATTAATTCATCTGATGTTGCATTTTCCGCTACACTCAACCCAGATGACAAACCGATAGCACTCTTACGTACTCTGTCTGCTAGCGAAAAACGTCACTATTAAAAAAGAGGTTGTGCAGTTTTCGAAGCAGTGCGCTAGTGGCGGTTGCGTTCATGCATTCAACCAAAGAGAAAGAGGAAATGAAAAAGGGCAAAGTCCAACGATGTCCTATGTACTTTTTTGGGGTGACCTACGGACCAGGGGCCGAAAACAAAGTCGTCGATAACCTTTCTCGGAGTGTTCATGGGAACACTTCATCTCACCGGGATCTAAAACGCTTATACGCAACTCTGTTCTATCCTCCATCGAGGACATTCGATGTGTCAGTAGGCAATCGCATGTACGTATGGGATTAAAACCACTTTTCTCCGAGCCATCTGGTGGTACACGAACCTTTGAACGTTTAAGCACTGGCCCCAAAGCACGACTGCCCTCGATGACTGGAAATAAATATCTACTGTCGGTTGTAGACGAGTATTCTCGTTTCCCGTTTGCTTATATGTCCAGATGTAAGTTCGTCTATGGTGCGGGGTGGATCTGCTTAGAACGCGTGGTTCGGATTCTATTTCTACATCTCGATTTCCCCTGTCTAGGCTTATGTGGTAGCATCCAACCCTCGTGCTTCCTTCTGGTGACATGGCAGCCAGGCACCGAAATATGTTACAGCTGAACGATTTCCCCCCTTTTATGGTTTTATTTTCCTTGTCTACAGTGTAACCTAAAGAAAACAAAAAGGGACTGTTGCCAGGCCACCTGGACTTGGGTACAACCAACGCAAATGTAAAAAGTAAATTTCAGCCAGGGTTCTCTTGATAAGAAGCTCACACCTCACTCCCTGTGTCATTTTTTGTGTTGCGCGTCGCATGTAACCGGATGTGATTCTGACCATGGTGTTTTCTGTTTCAGTATTCCATTCCATTCTGAGTGAGAAACGGTTCCCCAAGTCCTTATCTAAATTGTTTTTACCTCTGCACAATGGGAGATTTCGTGCTCGACGGTGATCATGAAGACCAGGGTGACGATTTTGGTGATGAAGCCTCCAAAGAGGATATAAGTGTGTCTGATGATATCCAGTTCGATGCGGTATGTTCCGTTGCTCGACTTCTAATGTCCTAGGAGCTGGAAGCCATCAAGGAGCGTTTCAAAGAAATCGAGGCCGATGCCAACAAACTCCATGATCTGAGGCATCTTACTGACAAGTCTCCCGTATCAAGTAGGCCTCTGGTAGTCTTTCTGGCTTTTCCTCTTGTTGATGTTACTCTAAATTACCTAAAGTTTAACTTGTCAAGCCTTGGTTCAGCAACGTGTCGCGGGAATTCATGCGATCCGGTTGTGTATCCCTGATCCTTTTACAGAGAGCTACATCAATCGTGATAGCTTACTTCACTGCTGAAAATTTGCACCCATGGTGTCTCTAAGATACCCCACTCAGCTGAAATGGTTGCTAACGATACTTACGGTATCTTTTCGTAGTTTGCCTTCGAACGGCTTGTTTGTGAAGGCTAGTTTATTGTTTCGAACCGAAATAGCCGAAGTCGTCTGGCCATTTGGTGTCCTCTAACAACAGGCCGGCCACAAACTCAAATCGACCACATTGCAATCAGTTACCGATGGCGCGGCTCCATAACTGACTGCCGGTCGTTTTGGAACACATTTGTGGACTCTGACCACGCGCTCGTCCGGAGTCGCTTCGCCCTACGTTTCCCGGGGTCGCGTAAGGTGCGGACAAATCGCACGGCAACTGAAAGACTGGCAGATCCGGATGTCAGACGAACTTACAAGAATCGTATTCTAGAGTTTCTTCCAAGTGCTCCGCCATCAGATGTGAACTCATACTGGGACGAGATTGCCACCTCTTTGCATAGTGCTGGGAATTTTGCCTGTGGCACGACCCATCCAGGCGCACTCAAGCACCGGATATCAGACCGAACGTTGGCACTACTTAAATCTCGAAGAAATATCCCAGCCGGTCCCGAACATAACCCGATGCGAAGAGCCATCAGACGTCAAGAGAAAGTGAGTTTGCGATCCGACTGTGAACTATGGTGGACACAGAAAGCCAACGAAATGGAAGGGGCCCAGAAAGCCGGTAATGCCCGGAGATTATTTCAGTTGATCCGTGCGACCAGTCCCCGGAAACGACCTGTGAGTGAAAGCATCAAGCGTCAGAATGGAACGACCATCTTGAATGAGGAGGAACGCCTTGACCGGTGGGCTGAATACTTTGAACAACAAATGTCTTGGCCACCAGCCGGCACTCATCTACAGCCCACAGGTGAAGTAGAACCCTGGACGGTGAACGTGGAACCACCTACGGCCTCGGAGGTTTACGACTGCATATGTTCTCTCAAGCGCCACCGAGCTCCCGGTCCGGATGACCTTCCACCCGCACTGTTCAAAGACGGGGGTGAAGTCCTCAGTCAGCGCTTGTCCGATCTGTTTGCTTGCATTTGGGAAACGGAGTCTGTCCCAGACAACTGGGGAGAATCCGTGTGCTGCGAGAGTCGAGTAGTTCCAGGGCGGGATTAGAAAGAAGACAGAATAGGAAGACGTAATGTACGCTTTAATCGTCTAATAGCTGTAGTACATGAGCTGAAAATAGAGCGATAATCACGAGTTAATGGGTTATGCAAAGGTAGCGATAATCATTAATGGGTTATGCAAAGGTATGGGTTATATAGTCATGACATTCTCCCCGCCTTGGAATAAGTGTGTACTTTGCGGAGAAAGAAAGTAAAAAAATAAAAGGCTGTAATGGTTACATGGAGTCGTTTACGCCTCTCTGTT